GGAACTCGACGGGTGGATTGATATCCGTTGGTGGACTCAACTCTGGTCTTGACGCATCAAATGGAGGCCATGTATTATTAAGACTCGGTGGCAAGCTCACATGGGGCAGGACGTCCGGACGCGTCTCCACAATTCGGTCTATGACTCCTGACGTCGCATTCCTGTCAGCTCCAGCTATGGTACGGAGGACACACATACCAAGCAGCAACCAAAGACAAATGTATGCCATAGTGTAGTCATCTCATCTAGGTTGTTTCATCATCGTGCAAGATCGTCCTGATGAACATGCAACACTAAGAGACAAAAGATAATATATTATCTACTTGATGACTTGAAACTTGTATTTCTTGCAGCCGTATTTTAAACTGTTAGTTACTGTCAATGGATGACGTCATCTTCCTTCATGTGCAGTAACAGTTTAAGATATGGCTGCAAGAATTTCAACCAAAGTTCAATTTGGACAAAGAATATCCAGAAAAAAGACCCTTAAATGCATCATACAGTCAATTTGGTATTGCCTATTGGTAAGTGGAACTTAATTCAACCTATGTAAATGCATTGGATATGAATCTGCTAAAATTGAAGTTTTAAGTTTATTTATTCCACATTTTACATAGAAAAAAAGTTTATATTCTTTTCTTTTTTATACAGGCATATATTATTATAAGAATAGATTTCACACAAGAATAAAATGTATTAAACAAAATTAGACATTAAATGACATTTTAGACCAAAGTTTGCAGAGTAGACCCTGTACATGTATTTGGATAGCTGCAGTTGGTGCATGTGTTGGTAGTACACTATATAAAGGATAGGCAGGTTTACAGTGGAATCACATGCATTCACGTCACCCACCCACTTGACTAATCTTTAATATCCATCAAAAAAAAAATATTAAATCAGTATTCCAACACGGAAACGAAGGGTGAATGCTTCACAAAGCTATCGCTGCTTGGCTCCTGCTCTCACACCTCTCTTTCGGACTGGATCAACCCCTCACTCTTTCACAATCTCTCTCTGTTTCATACTTGACCTCCATGTTAAACGTTCCACTACATGTATGTGATGCCACTGTAAACCTGCCTATCCTTTGTATAGTGTACTTCATGTACCTGTACTAACACCTGCACCAACTGCAGTTCTTCAAACTGGAGGAAGCCAAGCAAAGAAGAAGCTATGGACGGTTAGCTAATAGCGAATTTTTGCACGGCAACCCAAGTGCGCTGCTGACTACAGGGTATTTGAATGAGCTGTGCCGTCCACCCACCCCGTACTACTACTAGCTAGACTCCCGATGCTTATATCGGCTGAATATCGTCATAGGTTTGAGCGCTACGCGGAAATTTTTGCTCTGACTCTGAGTGAAACCCCTCCCCTGCTAAGATTACCGTTGTAGAGTGCAGCGCCGTCATCGGTCGCAAAAACAGCCTATTGTCTTACGAGCCGACCCTACTCAAATAAGAGGCTTAAGATTTAGAACGAAGAGACAGAAATTTCCGGTCCATATGCAAACCACAGCCAACAACATCAACAGATCAAGGAACATTCACGTCCACCACCCACTTCTATTTCTAATCTTTAAATATCCATCAAAGAAATCTTGATCTAGTAATAGTAATAGTAGTAGATCTAGATCTATAACTAGTAGCCTAGATTAAGTAGCTAGATTAAGCTAAGGTTGTATTTGTAGGCCTAAGCTAAGGATGCAAACCATAAGTTGAATAAGTTAATAACAGAGATTAAATTGAGATGGGCTGCCCATTTTGGCAGACAGTTATCTCTGTCTCGGCCTGTTAGTGTTAGTGAATAGTGTAAAAATAGGCTGAGTCTATAACTAAGTAAGAGTAAGAGAGAGAGAGAGTGAGACAGCTAGCTAGATCTACAGCTACAGCTGACAGTCAGACCATGTCTAGTAAGTCCATGGTCAGACGAAGAACTAGACCTATTGTTATACAACTTACAAAATACAAGCCAAAGCAAAGTCCTGACAAATTAATAAAAGGAGTGCCTGGCATTACATCATAGGCCTACGTCTATGGTTACATCGACTTACTCACTAAGGTGTTAAAAGGCTGTGAATGGAGCTGTGTCACTGTCAGCCGGTTTGTTACTGTATGTAGCTGTAAGATAAGGCCAGGGATCTCCCTTGTATTTGGCTCCTGATGATCACAACATTTGCAAGTTTCCAACATAACACGATCTCAATTCGCAAGCGATATGCAATGCCTTGGCTATACTACGCCGTCGGAGGTTTTTTTTTTTCGTAGGATGTTTAAGTACGCACCAGTGCTACTGTACTGGTGACGTGAAGTCCTATTTGGGGGGGGGGGGGGTGGGTGTGGGCTATCATGCAGGTACCTTTCACTGCAAATTTGTCTGACAAACAAGAAAGATCATAAAGTTTTATAGTTTTGCAAAAATTATTTAAAAATCACAACCGATTCCAAGGGAAACCCAGCTAGGGGACAATCTTATATTTTATTGATGAACTACATAGCCTATTTGGGCGGGGGCACTAGAAGTCGACCAGATCAGCCATTTTCCGACCTTTTATTTTAGCCGGGCCTCCTTTTTCACGACGCCTTATATAAAATTCATAAACGAGGATTTGTTTTCCAGCCCTCCGACGCATAGACGCATGGAACTCGTATCCGAAAACATGCTATCCGAATCTGAAATATTGCGAGCGAGCGAGGCAATCGAGCAAAATTTTGCATTTTTATCAAGGCAAATTTTTATTTAGTCATCAATATACACTAGATAAAATGCAAAATGTTATATTCGGTCCTCTCGTTGCCAAGTATCATCCCGATTTATCAGTTTTGCGAGAAGTAAGCGAATTAGGGGTAAAAGACATTTTGTTGTGGTGTAAATCATTTCGATATTAATACAATAAATAAGGTTATAATTATGGACACCATGCTGCCCGGCTCTCAGTCATGTAGAAATACTGAAATCATGTGTGACCACCGTTCAGACACCCCCTAAACGAGGATTTCTTCTAAAGCCAAAATACACCCTCAAGAAATGAGGATTTCGGCGTGGTTTTTCCCGAATTCACACCCTAAACAAGTATTTCACAAAAGTGCACTCCTTACCAAGTATTGTAAAATGGTAACACCTTGATCATTTTTTTAATTTAGTGCGACCCAATCTCTCTCCTCTTTTTCATCCCCCGTTTCTTTTGTTTCCTCTCCTTTCTCTTTTTCTTTTTTCTCTTTCTTTCTTCTCTTCTCTAATTTCCTTTCTTTTCTTTTTCTTTTTTCTTTTCTTTCCCTTTCCCTATCATTTTCCCCTCCCCCTTTTCTCATTTTTCACGACAGCAGCGCAATTTTACCGACAATATATGACAGGTGGGGGGGGGGGCTGCAGCACCCCCTTTAGCGACGCCCCTGGTTGTTATCCCATTATTCTTTTTAAATAAATGCAATTCCTCATGCTCTCGCACCCAGGCGCGTAGCCAGAGTTTGATGTTTGGGGGGGCACATACATGTAATCGATCGAGGTCAAAAAAAGGGGTCTACAAAATTTTAACCGATCCTGGAAATTTTAGGGGGGGCACGTGCCCCCCGTGCCCCCCGTGGCTACGCGCCTGCTCGCACCTCTCTCTCTCTTTCATTTTTTCCATCTCTTTTTGTGGTTCTTCTTGCATGTGCTTTTTTTTTTGGGGGGGGGGGGGGTGACTACACGCCAGGCAAGAGGGACCCCATATTATGCACCCTGCAAAATTGCGTGCCCCCTGCACCTTTCGCGGTAAACAAAACACCTTATATCATCCCCCTTTCTTTATTTTCCCTTCTTATTATTCTCCTTTTCCCTTATTCTCTCCTCCGTCTTTCCCCATTTCTTCTTTTTCGTCTTTTCTTTCCCCTCTCTTCCCCTTTCTTCCTTTCACCCTCCAGTTTTCTCCTCTCCCTTTTCTTCTTCTTCAGCTCTCTTCCCTTTCCTTTCGTTCCCTCTCCTTTTTCTTTTCCCTCCCTTTTCTCCTTTTTTTTTACCGGGGGGGGGGGGGGGCACGTGCCCCCTGTGCCCCCTGTGCCCCCTGAATCCGCCACTGATAATAGATTTTAAAACAATGCTCCACATGATACTACCCATGGACATGCATACCGGCCCCATATAGCCATGAGACGTGCGGGCCGCAGTAATTGTTAACCAAATTTTCAGCAAATATTTCCGAGTGATCAAAACGATCGTTCATTATTGATTCTTGCATTTTCAAAACTCAAATCGGAAATTATTTTTATTTCCTATATAGCGAAACTCTCAATGATCACAAAAATTGATTGTATGCTTTTTTTTTTAACCTTTCAATTTTTTCCAACATTGAAGAAGGTGAGAGCTATTCTGTCCATTGTTTTCTCTATAATTAAGACGTTAAAAAAAAAGTTATGTCACAGATGAGAGGGGGGGGGGGGAGTGGTGATTTTTTCCTTATTCAGCTTGTAGACAACTTGAAGGCGCTATGGCCAGGGTTGTTGCTACACGGAGAGCTAGTGCATGAAGACCCTATAGCCAATGAATATATTCTGCCTCAGATAAATTATGTAGGCATATATCCTCTGTTGCTTGAAATATAACAACAATTTTGCAGACTGTCTGTTTTCCAAAACCTAGACCTGTCAACAAGTTCTAGTGACATTCCTTGCTAGAACTATTTTGTATCAATGTAAAAATGAAACGTTAAACAAGAAAGGAGCTGGGAAGAAATAATAGGGGAAAAGCTCACCGTTTCATAAAGATGAACTTTCTCTTAAGTGCCCCCCCCCCCCCGGCCCACCTCCGACCATCTCCCACTTTTCCATAGTCACCTGCCACGCATCTAAGTCAGGTAGAGTTTAGATCCACAGTCTATATGCTAATCTGAAAGTTTGGGTAAAATATATATATATTAATACATGTTTATTATGCAAATATATATTTCATCATACTTGTCGTTGTTTTAGTAGTTGAGTAAAGTTGTACAAGAGGCAATTATTATATTCAAGCATGAATTTTATTTTCTTATTTTCTCCTTGACCACACCCTAATGCTGTTGACGTTTCAGTTCCTTTTTGCTTTCATTTGGCGTTGACACTGACGACAATTTTTGTGTCTTACAAGAAAATGTATCGCTCAAAAGTAAGTATATCGAACAGACGGCCATGCTTTATATTTTGCCTTTGTAATTACTTGATAAAGAGCTCATGTGTACCTTTCGTTCATTATAATAATTGTAGATGTCTGTACATGTAACGGTCTTCAGTCCCATTCGTATATTTTTATGTAGGGCATTCCGCTGTCGACTCCTCCTCGAGTCTCATTTGAGAGTCGTGTAAGTCAGATGTGCATGTGAGAAGTGTTTAACTTCAAAGCCCTTTAATTCATGACGTCCTTATCATTAACAGGATAGGTCTCATATCCATGAAAGGTGTTACTTGAGAGCAAAATGTCCTAACAAGTAACAGCAATTTACAAAACATATCAATTCTTGAATTTTGAACTGGAACTTTTTTGGAGAAGTTTTATATTTTTCATAACATATTTTTTTTAACGTTACACTAGGGGATCAGGCCAGATACCTGTACGTAATAAGGCATGCTATGAAGAAAAATAAACACAAATTGAGAGGTCACCTGACACATATAATAATCATGTGATATGTGTAACCACACCCTTTTTCAGTGCCTGCATCGGTATCGTGGCTTTTGATGATAATTAGACCCGTCACAAAACCTGTTAATATATACTGTAGAAGTTTGCTTGTTTTTTTCTGCTCCTTTTTATAAACACCAGGCGTGAGCATTTTTTGGGCAGCAGAATTAAGGTGTTAAATGTGGCATGGCACTTAATCTGCTCAAAATGTTGAAGAAAAAAATTTAAAATGTGTGTATGGGAACTGTTTTTTTTGTGACGGAGAATCTATTGTCCGTTGTGATACATCAGTTATTTGGTTGACTACTTCTTCTTCTTCTTCCTTTTGAGTACAGACCTCTTTACAGAGTATTATCGTACTATACTGGGGGTGTGTGCAGGTGGACCACTACACCGGGGTTTCCCCTACTCTTATACGAATAAGTTGTAAATTGGTGGCAAATCAGTTCTATTTCATTTACAAGCACATTGATTTCAGCTTAATTTTAATTTTTTTAGCAGTCATGAAATACTCAGTATTGATTAAAAAATTGATTTATATCTGTAGTATCCAGATGATCCCGGCATGCATAACGCTGGTGGATTACCAGGACTTGGTAGTTCCAGACTTCCGTCCACCTATAGCAAGAGAGGAGACTCCACATTTGTAGAGCGTGTTAGCAACAGCTTTACAGGGTCCATGCTAGGGCTTGGTCTCGTGGCCATTGGACTATTCAGCATCACAGTCAATGAGGTAAATTGATTTTAATGAGAGAATCAGCAACGTTTTAAAAATAAAGAGTGCAAAATGCATAGAATATTAAACAGCTTGATAAAAGAGAAGTGAAAGATTCAATATGCTCAGTATAGAGAATAAGTGAGAATGCAAGTAGCTTAAAATCATGTAGCTGAAATGAGCAAGATAATAAAATAACAATCGTTTCATTTGTAAGACTCTGCTTTTCTCATCATTTTTGAATAGATATATGTTCAATTCAACCTCAGGAAGAAGAAAATTGAATTAACTTTGTTTTTTTTAAACAATTATTTCAACATCTTTTACTCTGACTTTCAGCTTGGAATTGATTTTATTTTGCTGTTTTTGTTTTCTTTCCCAGAGTTTTGCTGCATATGTCTCATGGCAATTGGATGATGGCTTGCGCAATATTATTCCCTTGGAATCCAGTGAGGTTATATTTACAGAAAATAACAACAAGCTTATACATGTCACAGGAAAGCTACGGACTACAGAGGTGAGATATTTTCTATGGGACTATTAAAGTTGTGGAGTGTATTTTGATTTTCTTTATGGTATTTTGCTTCAGGGGGGGGGGGGGAGGATGATTTGGAGTTGGCAGTGCTTTACCTCTTAAAGCTGATGAAGATCTCAGGATTCATTTTTGTAAGGATAGTAATGCACACACCCATATAGATTAACATTGAATTTTAAAATATGTTTCAAATGCAAATGAAGAAAATATTGATCATTATTATTTTGTTGAAGTGGTGATTTCAAACTGATTTTTGTTTAGTCCTTTCAAGTGATGGTAGCAGTGCAATGAAAGTCTCTATCATATCTTTATACATGGTGCTAAACCAACTTATACTCAAAGTAATGTAGTAATATGAGCCTTTAATTTATTCATTATATTCACCATAGTCTCAGAAACCTGAATTTAATCAAATGACACACATTAATACAATGAGTTTTACCATTTAAATTTATTTGAAGTAATTGTATGCAATGATAATACTTTTCACAACAGTCTTTCATTGCTTTATAAAAACAATTTTATCAATAAATCTAGTTTATGTATCTTTAACATTCAGTTTTACATGTTTTCTTATTGTTGCAATTATATATACATGTATATTGTAATTTTACTTGCATTTAAAGCCCCACTGTACTACTTGTAGTTACTTGCTCCCCCTATATAGAAAACAATGACTAATCGGTGCCTGTTGGTCCCCCATGATCCTCTTTTTCTTATGTTAATTGAGAGCTGAGTTGATGAGATAGCCACCCGTCAGTGACCTCGCTGGGTGGTCTAATCCCTCCTGTCCACACTAGTACAGACAGCCTTTAAAAACATAATTGTAATGCAGTCTGTGACTCCCAGTCATGTTTTTAGTAAACCTTGATTGAATTGAATAAATTATTCTGTGTTATGCTTTCCTAGCCCCTGGTAGATTCCCAGTTTGGTATATCAGTGAGAGCAGTGAAGCTACGTCGTCATGTCCAGATGTTCCAATGGGTTGAACATAGGAAACAATCTCCAGGAGAAGATATCCAGTATACATACAGTGAGTCATTCTTCAACTGTTGCCTGTTCAAGCTGAACTGACCTTTATAGTGGTCAAGTATGTTGTGTGACTGTTTTTTTAAATAGCAATTAAAACATTTAGTTGAAAGGCATTTACAGTGATGCTACTAGTTTACACATAATGTTGGATGTTTGAACTGTTTAAAGCTCCCAAATTTCCAATTTTCCAAATTACATTTCCTTGAGCTATAATAATAAGGAGTTTTCACGCAAAATAATAGAGATCATAGTACCTAATATTTTTTGCATTAATATGTAAAAAATAAAATTTGTAATATAATCAATATTGACTCTTGAGCTTTATATTATGTTAATGAAACCATCAGATATTTTTTTTTTAATGATGTGAAATTCACAGCATAATTTCATCACCATTTTTTTTTATTTGCAGCTAAAGAGTGGAGGTCAGAAATCATTGACAGTGACACTTTCGAAAATTCTGCCAGGCATGTTAATAAAAAGTGAGTATTTTTGTTGCGATTTGTTCATTTCATTCAAGAACTTTTAATGTAAATATATTTATGTATGCACCTTTGTTCTAAAGATAAAAAACAATTTTTTATGTTGATCAATTACATTGTCATCTTGTGTTACAATAAGCATTTCAAGAATCCAATTTTGAGACGAGGAGTTTCATTGATTTTAATCTTTAAATTATCTGTAGTGATCTCTAGAGCTGTAAAATAAATAGATTTTACAAATTGTTCCGGTATTATGTGGTAGTATTTTATGTTTTAGTTTTAGGCCTATTTTATATTCTGATACTAGTATTATAGCTACAGGTATTTATTGAGATAGACTGTGTTAAAGGTAATACAAAGTTTTGATATGGGGTCATGAATTAGGTTCAAATGAACATTTTGGAAGCATATGTGATCCTACAATATTCAATGATCTTTGTCGCAGTTGAAATCAAGTCTAAAGTGATGAAATTATAAATAATAAACTCTTTATATTGTATAACTCCCTCTCAAGATTGATACTACTTACGCTTTAAAACAATGTCTTTTGACTAAAATCAGAACTGCATATTCCAAGATTTTCATGGTCGCAGCTACCATAAATTTTGATATTCAATTGCTCGAAAACACAAGTGTTTTATGGTCTAAATTTTCTAGTGATTATAATACATCCACATGGGCATCCAAATATATCACAATTTTAGAGAATCACTTTCCAGCCAATTTTCAAAATTTCTCAAAACTTTGCGTTACCTGTAACCTTGGCTCCCTACCAGCACAATCGGTCTTGAAATCTTGATTTTGTATCCCTAACTGAAATATGATACATCCACACAGTGAAAGCTGTAAAGTACCTTGAATGGTCTTTACTAGGGGATATATGCTGATAGTATTACATATAGCTTGTCCAAAATAGTATTACATATAGCTTGTCCAAAATAGTATTACATATAGCTTGTCCAAAATGGAAATGAAATTATTACAGAATTCAAATAGTTTTGTAAGCTTTACATTGCATGGATGATGAACACGATATGAATTTATGCTATTTGATTCATTTTTCTTCACAGGGAAATGTCTGTCAAAGGCACTACCTTTGTTGCCATCCGAGCTTACATTGGTAACTTCCAGTTAAAGGAGCCCTTGAAAGAAAAGATTGAAAACTTTGACCCTTACTTCACCCAGCAGCAACCTTCCAATCCAAACGTTAAACTGCACAATGGCTTTTATCACTTCTCATTAGATATCAACAGACCTATGGTATGTCAAATCATATTTTTGTTTTGAAATCTTATGATTACTTTATGTTATTATCAGTCATTTGTTTTTCTGCATACCGGTAAGACTTACCGGTAATAACATTGATTGAAATTATATTGCAGAATAAGAATCATTTCAATTTTTCAATTGATGTTGGATTTGGTATTCCTAACAATAATAGGAGAAAGTTAAACATAAACACACAGAAAGAAGGAAAAAAACATATTTGAGAGAAAATGCATGAACAAGCAGATGAATATGTTACATATTTATTAACCTCTGCAGTAATTAAAGGTTATTTTTCAAAACATTTATTTCCATGTATATGTCTCTCAATCTGAGAAATGAAGGGAAAGCTATTTGAAGAGATAAATGCCTCCAGATTTCTTGAAACAAGCCAGGGTTTGATGATTTTAAAGTGAGTGTGTTTATTAATCTCCCTGGCAAATGCTGTAGAAACTACCTCAGCTAGCTTCAAGTTTTACCAAATTAATTCCATTTTATCTTTGTTTTGTATAGATAGGAGAAGTGAGAGTAACATTCAGCTATGCTGGTGTGAGTGGTCAGGAGAGTAGCATCGTAGGACCCCCTGCTACTGTAAGTCAAGCCCCTTTACACTCAATCATGTATCTCTACAGTTAGGATATATTAAAGACAGCCATCGTTTAACAATGTTGAATCTGAGATTTACGGCCATACGTGTTATCAGTGTCTTTGATATGGTATAATTAGGTGTTGAAGCCCTAAAAAAATTGTGCTTCAAAATGATCAAGAAGTGCCTCAAAAAAGTAAAAATCTTTGAGAAACCGGTTTTACCATACTCGTTTTCCCCAATAGATTGTAGTGTTATGAAAACTGTTAGGAAAATGCAAAATTTTATTTCGATTTCCAATCATAAATATCTTGATAATCAGACAGGCGATTGGCTTGTCAAAGTCATGGCCTAAAGGTTTATGATAACTAAATTAGTTCTATAATTGACAGCTATGTGCAATGTTGTTTAATATGGCTGTGTATACATTTTAAAGATCCCTGTTCCAAGGCTATATAATACATTTTGTATTGTCTATACAGGGAATATCAAATGTGGTGGAGTGTGAAACACACAATTCAAATGTTGTTGTCCACTGGGTGCATAGTAGTGCAGCATTTTTCCATGTGTGTTTTTGGAGTACGACCATTCAAATTAAAAAAAAACCATGTATAAATTGTTTAACAATATGCTACCTGTATGCTGTTTTACTACCTCAGCACATCAAAATTTTCTAAATTAGGGAAAGTCATTAGAAAAACAAATATTCCAAGGGAGGATATATTATCAGTTTTGGCTAAAGTAAGCTCCATCTGTTTGGTGCATCATCCATTTGTATTTGTAATGTCTATCTACATTGCATTCTCTGGATCTCTGGTGTGCAGATTATTGAGATGTTTTTTTTCTTCTTTTTTTCTTCCACAGGTGAGCATAATTGCCAAACAGGCAGGAGGAATTCTGACTAGTTATGTAGATAATAGTGGTACAGCAAGAGAGATGGTCCAGATGGGAAAATGGTCTGCAGAGGTAAGACTATATGATGTTCGATTCTAGAGTCCTACACCTCATTTCATGTTATAACTCTTTCATTTGCATATTTATTTGATCATGATATTTATAGTCTAAAATTGCAAAAAAAACTGTGACAGCAAATATCGAGATGTGTTTATTATTTGAGAAATATTTTTAGGTTCTGAGATAAAAAAATTGTGGGTGGCAATGACATAAAATTAGTCAGATTTAATACAAATACCCCCCCCCCCCCAATAAAAAGGAACATCCCACAAATGAAATGTGTCAAGTATAGCAATTCCTGTCTCCAGTATGTGCCTACAGGTATGCGAAATTGATAACAACAACAAAACAATAAGTAAAAGAAGATTTTTTCATGAAGTAACCAATAATCACTTCAAAATCTTAATTAACTTCCAATTTAACCTGAAAACATTAACAGTGTCAATTACCTGTTGTAATACTCAGGAGAATAGAGGCACAAGCTTTGCATTAAAACATTAACACTGAGAATGTAAAAGAAGAAGGAAATCCTTAACAGGATGCAAGTGAGGGAAACTTATTTATTAAATGTTTCTGATGTTTGTATTGCCTGCAGGAAATGCTGCTTCGTCACCTGAACCTGCAGACCTCATTGACATGGTCTCTCAGGATTGGAGGATGGCTCATGATATTCTTAGGCTTCTGTTTTATGAAACTCATCACTTTTTATATCAGTGAGTATTTACATGATTTGCTTTTTGTTAGAAAGGATTTCAATTTATTTTTTTAAGGAAGGAAAGAAATGGAGTGAGAGACTTATTTGAGAGCATGAGAATATGAATTGTATTTTTCTTTGGTTTCAATGGGCTACATACAGGCTTTATGATTATATTCCTATTTAAATTTTCTGTTCAAAGAAGCTTATATTTAAACGATTTTAGCTATGATTTGCATCTTGTTTGCACGGCTGTTTGAAGGGGAAAAACAAAAAAGGGGCAACAAAAAGGTTAGGAGGATGAGAATATGTATGATGCATTTCCAAGTCAAATATAGTCTACAAGCTGAATTAAAAGCAGGAACATGTTTTTTTTAAAGGAAGATGAGAGAATAAAAACAAGAAACATGTGGAAAGATGATGAAGAGAAATGTTATGATTTTAGAAAAGATGGGAAAGTTTTGGATGGACAAATGTCTGTTCAGAAAACTAGTATAATTACAGGGGGAAATTGTGTAAACTCTTAATCCCTCCTGTCGTACATTATATTACAGTTTAACATCACACTTAACAAATTAGCATCAAACAGTCCATACAGTTTAGTTAAACATTTCTTTTTAAATTTCCTTTCTTCTCTTTGTAGTGGATCTGGTACCACCCCTTCGAAAGATTGCATCATTTGGTCTGATAAACTTCAACTTGTGCATCTCCTTCTCACTAGCTTTAAGCTTTGCTGCCTTATGTTACCTAATGACCAGACCAGTGCAAGCTCTTATCATGATGACTGTAGCGCTACTACCAGGAATTATCGCTTTTTTCCGACATAAAAAATCACAAAATGAAAGTTTGAGATTATGAGTACAAATAATTGCATTCTGTACTTTCAGATTGATTTGTATTCAGAAATGTTAGGATATTAATAGGATATTTATTTTTTGGTATTTTAATTTTAGGATACTAATGAAATCTGAGATGTTATTTTATTTGTGTGTGTTTAATATAGAGGAATAAGGGTAAAAATTAAAAAAACAGACATCAGACATTAATTAACAACTTCTAAACCATTCAAAATTACAACAAACAATAAAGTTTATCAAATTAACTATAGTATGGTCGAATAGCATTGTTCATTCTTCCGGGATTTTACTGGAATTTTTTTTCTTTTCCGAGTTATAATTTAAAGAAAGGAAAGTAAAAATATTCTTATAGACAGTATTTTAAGATTAACAAAAATGCTAGGCATGTCCAAATTGCAGTCGAAGTGGAAGTCGTTCAATGTTTTTGTAATTTTTCAAAGAAAACGATTCTAACTTGAAGAAAGCTTGATGAAATTTAGATTTCTTTTGCAATGGTAGAGACATCCTATCAGGATATCTAAGAACACAAGCTTTTTATTATCAATGTTACTTGATGTTGCTTCTGTCCCACCTCTTATGTCACAATGTCCCTGGGCAAGACATTAATCTACATTTGTCACACTCGACCCAGGTGATGTAAATGGGTACCTGGCAGGAATTCAGTTCTTTGAAATGCTAGAGCGCCGTAATGGCAGCAATGCTAAAGCCGAGGTAATAATTGCGGAGTTCCAGGAGTGTCAAGTATGACAGATATCAGCGCTATACAAAAACCCACTATTGTTATTATTATCATTAATGTAGATGTTATCATGGTCTAAAGAATGTATGTCTGAAATTATGTTGCTCCTCAAACGTGAAATAAGAATGTATTTTATGTACATTAGACATCAAAGCAGCTATGGGAAGTTGTGTAGTGCCTTAGAGGAAGTGATGGACTCTGTGTCACATGTGGTTACGTTATTGGTGGTAGCTTACTCTAATAATCTGTATAATGTTTAATATGTAGCAAAAAATCATGTACACTAACCTTGAAAACATTTTTTTTTTTACTGTATGGAAGTTTTTGTCATATGATTCCAAGACTAAAATCTACTTTACACTGTAAATGTAGAGCACACTGTGTTTAAAGACGACTTTCATTGAAATAATTTTTTTATTAATTCATAAATAAGATTTATTGGGATTTTACTTGTTCTTTAATTTCTTTTCTTCTTTCTTTAAAAAAAAAAGATTAACCCCTCTAAATTACAATTAACCCCTCTAATCATTCTAACATTATAAAGCACCATATCCTATAGAATTGTTTTTATTACTCTGTGTATAGGATACATGTATCATTTAACATCTCACTACCAGGTTCACATACAGTCAAACCTGTCTATAGCGACCGCCCAAGGGAAATACAAAAAGTGGTCTTTGTAGACAGGTTCCTTTAGTACATGTTACAATGAGAACCCATTTTCAAGGGAAACAAAAAATGTGCTTGTTGTAGACAGGTGGTCTTTGTAGACAGGTTTCTTTAGTTCATGTTTCAATGAGAAACCATTTTCAAGGGAAACAAAAATTGTGCTTGTTGTAGACAGGTGGTCTTTGTAGACAGGTTCCTTTAGTACATGTTTCAATGAGAACCCATTTTCAAGGGAAACAAAAAATGTGCTTGTTGTAGACAGGTGGTCTTTGTAGACAGGTTCCTTTAGTACATGTTTCAATGAGAAACCATTTTCAAGGGAAACCAAAAAAATGTGATCTTAATAGACAGGATCCTTTAGTACCTGCTTCAATGAGAAACCATTTTCAAGGGAAACATAAAATGTAGTCTTTGCAGACAGTTGGTCACTAAAGCAGGTTTGACTCTATATCCACCATAAAACCCTGCCTACATAAGAAACCATTTTCACTACTTCCTTTATATGTACAGTGCCCTCTATTGGCGATGCGTTTTTGGAAAGCCACAAAGGGTAGATTTCTGGTTTTAGAGTAAAAAAAAAACTGGGGTTGTCCTTCAAGGAAATTGGAAAGGAAGTGACAGAATTCATTTGTCTGAGAAAAAGGTTTATATTTTGGTTATGACTCAAAAATCTAGTCAGTTGGGAACTGGACTCTAAAAGTTGAGTTTGAAGTTTTTCAGTCTACTAGTATAGCATAATTGCATGCATATTGTGAATTGTGAATTCACATCATGTTGGTACTTTTCAAAAGAAGAAACCTTACTCATTGTTTTAGGAGGGAGAGGTAATTTCCTGAAGCGGCATGATAAATGTGTCTCTCTTGCTTTCATGATTGAACATAATATTTTGGTCACTCAAGCAAGAGACGCAGTGTGAAAGAATATTTTTTGGCAAGAAATATTTTAAGCTGAGTGATATCAGATGGTTGAAATATCCTGTTCTTGGCCAGTTGGCTGGATGGTTTATTGACATTTGGTCTAAAACATATTTGGCTAGTATCCATTTTTTTTCTTCCAATTCCATATATCGACTGATTACTTGTAAAGACCCTCATACATCATTCTTCGTAATATATTCTCCATCAAATCATGTCATGTGATAATAATTTTGTTTCAAACCTACTTTTTCTTGACTTGCGGCCTTAACACCTTAACATATTGGAAGTAATGAAATGCTATAGGTTACATGTAGAACCCCATCCATCCCACCTTGTTTTTTTTACAATTTTCTTTTTTTAAGAATCTGAACTTTGTTTTTAAAGATTTTGAATATAATTTGGAGGGGCTTTATTTCTCCCCCCCCCCCTTTTTTTGCGTGCAATTTGTACAACTTATAGGCTGATGATAACTGTAATACCAAAGGTAATGAGTTTCAATTTATACAATGGCCTTTGTGCATTATTAACTTTGGTAACATAAAATGCTGAGCTTGGATACTCTGTAATGGCTATATTGCACCAGTATTAACAAATAATTATGTCTTTTTTTATCTATGGTATATTTTCAAACATAATATGGCATCCTCTCATTAATCATGAATTTTAACTAATTAATTTCCATCGTGCTTTACTCTGTCAGACCTTGTAATGTACACTCAACACAAAAAGAAAGTGGACACTCTTTAATGTTAAAAATGTCCATGTAAGCTGTCACTAAAATTAATAAAATATATATCAAATTGAAGGAAAATAGATATTCTACCAACATCAATTAAGTTCAAGTTTTGAACTTTCATGCATGGATGGGCATATTGCATTCAACTATTAGAAGGTCTGATTAAGAAAATTGCAAAATATAGAGCAAATAGCCATTCAAATGTTAATGAACATATCTGTAAGATATCCTTGTTCAACAGTGGAAAAAAACAAAAAAACAATGAGGATTGAGCTATTGATGTCAACTGTAGTCTCGAGACTTCCGTCATTGTTTTGATATGCATGGTCCAAATACCTCTCCTTTCATTTCTGTTTCTTGTGATCCCTTCTTTTATCGTTTTAATTTGACTCTACAAAATGGAAATGCTCTTTAATATTTGAATGGCTAGATGCCACATTTTTGCAATTTTCATTCAGAATCATTTATTATTAAATGGCTATGGTCACTCTATGCGTTAACAGTATGATTCCAATTGCTGAAGAGTATTGATTTCTGTTTATTTTGATATATGAAAGATAAGTTTATTGAATATTTATATTTAAATCATGAATTATAAATAGTGTCCTTTTTCTATTTTTGTGTGTCAAGAAGTTGGCATCTCTGCATGTATGATACCAAAGTGGCCTAAAGCCAAGTCCTATATATATTTGTTCTTTGTCATTTTCTAGCAATTTCTACCATTTCTGTCTCGAAGAAAATTAACAATATGTGTACCATCTTTGCCACTGTTTTCTGGCTACTCCATGACTAATCGCAATTGTTTTCACATAAATAGTAAACAAAGAAAAAATGATGCTACAAAATTATGAATATTTTGAATCTGCAAAAATTTGGTTGAGATATACAGTATAAATGTTTATAGCCTATGATTGTCTGTCACAGATGTGTTACATGTGATCTGATGCTTGCTTCAGTGACTTTTACTCCTAGCTTTATTTCATCAAAAAATGTAGGACTAGGGCTTGTGCAGTTTCATGGTTAGGTATAGCATTATTAAAGCTGGTCCAAGGGTAAAGTGTGCTACTTTATTTTTAATAGCACAAGGTCATTTCTGAAAGTTGCAAGAGGTGATTGATGGCTAATGTATTTTGTAATGACACTAATAAAATCTTAAATTTACAATTAAAATGAGAATTCAGAACAGTACTTTATCAGTGATTAGGATTTGTGCAACTACAATAATGAGATCTTTAAATACACAAATAATTTCAAACCAAATACATAGCATTTTTATTTACATATATACATATTGATTACTACTGGCAATTCAGCAGTAAAAATAATCAAGAATTACTAAAGAAATCACATAATTATGAACTCCAACGATTAATGTGTACATGATTATCAAATTTGATCGTCTGAAATATTCATGATGTCATTCCTCGGAAAAGTGATTTGAAGATCTGTGATAATACTGTGAAAAATATCTAATCCTGTACTAAAGATGACATGATTTTAAAGGATATTTCGATATAAAAGTTCTTTGATCTTGCATAGATTTATATAATACTTCTACAATGTATTGTTCTAATTAAAATGCCACCATGTACAAAACAATCTAATATATAAAACTGACAATTTACGAGGATGGAAACTGATGTGAAATTCTATTCATGAATATTGCCTCTTAAATCTATTACAACTTATTGAAAGGCTCTGGCATATGCAGCACATCATCTTGATGATTATACAATTCAAATCATCAATAGATCTCAATAACTTTCAATTTTAATTATTTACATATACAAATTATATAAATTTTATCTGAGAATACTCTTATTAGCATATTATTTTTGCTTAACTTTTTACTCTCCATTGCCTTCGCAAAATTAAAAATTAATTTTTATTTTCTATAATAAATTTGTTAATATGATCACTTAATTCTAGTTCAAATACACCAATTTTGCCATAAAGAGCTACATCTAATTTGAAGAGTTGGTTGAAAAGAGTTTCTAATTACATAATCTCCATTCTATTAACATTGTGAGACTTGTGCCAATATTAAGGCAGAAACCTTCTTTTAAATAGTGCAAGATTTATTTGCTACAAGTGGAAGAGTGACAGCCTTCTGCAATTTTGAAATACTACTTAATCCTGTAAACTAATTTGTTGATTCAGCATTCAATCAAAAGTATATCTAAAATTTGAATTAAGAGATGAATTACAATATAAATTGATAACACTTTCTGATATAAGAATACTTGGCACAAATGTCTTTAAAAAGCTACACACACATGAGTAGGGTCTAAAACACATCTCGACTAGAGTGTAAATCCAGGGGATACAATTAACAATGAACAAGAGCCTTGTGAAATTCTTTTAGCACTGCAGGCATCCACATCTCCACACGTATAATAAGAGATTTTGTAGATGACAATTTCAGAAGGGGAAAACAACAGATATCCATGATTGTACTAATATCAGTTTGCATGTTATACTCAAACCTAAGAACAAAACAGTACACTGACCCTTCTTTTTTCTACCCTTTTTTGTAAGTATGTTTTTACCAATCCTTGTGGTTTCCCTTGATGGCTATAGACGCATTTGATTACAACAACAAACAAGAGTAAAACAAACGCAAAACAACAAAAATTGGTATAGAATAGTGAGGGTTGATCAATATGGTGCTAATTGATCCTCAAGTGTATCTTTTCAAGATAAACATACACAAGACAACAGTAATTAAGTATTTAAAGTGATCTACATTGTTTTTCAACTTCTCACTGGAATATATAGTTGTTTTGTCATAAGTTATAGGGTAGTGACTAATGATTACCTTTACGCTTGTAAAACATTTTTTTTCCCTTCGATATAGTAACAATCCGCAAGATATTCAACTGACCACATCCTTAATGTTTAAAAATTCTTTTTGAACAAAGGGAACAACGTGGTGAGAAAAATATAAAGTTAGGCGAGATGTGTATTACCATAGAGAGGGACTTGTTTGTACATGCAGCAATTTGTAACTGACATCTTAGTAAAACAAATGAATAGTCGAATAATCCTTATTTTGTTCTTATAGCCTTATACAATTTTTATTCCATCTTGTTCAGTTTCGTACATTTCAATAAAAGAAAAAAGATGCCTATCTACACTCATACATGTACATTGTACATTCAACCTGAAACATACCTTATGGATACACAACCTTCACAAAAAAAAAACATTCTAAAGTAATATTGCAACAAAATAATGTAAATACAGGAAACATTATCATGAAAAATTCAAAATACGGAAATATACAAAAAGTACTAAAACCTGAAATCAAACCACAAACATAAGACAACATTTGTTCATCGCAATGATTGACTCCAGTTGATAGGGTTATACTTGAGCAGCTCCTGCTCCACTGTGTTTGAATGATCTCTTGTCTGCCGTGTATCATGCCACTTCTTCTCCATCAGCTGTGTGGATGAAAGAAAGAAGGAAAGAAAAAGAATGAGAAAATTAGGACAATTAACTTAGTGTCAAGTATTGTAACAAGATTACCTTATCAAAGAAACTAGTTCTTGTAAACCACTGACTGGTTTAGATACCATTTTTGCTCAGTTTTAAACTAGACCAGGGGGTGTTTCCGGAGATCCTAAGTTGAACTTATCTCCAAGTTGGACTTAAAAATTATGGAAAGCCATTAGCACCTACAAAATGTATGTAAAAGTTACGTTAAAAGGCATAAAATGTTTATTCAAATCATTCATACAGTATTTCCTATCATCAAGGAGATTTCATATTCTCGATGTGGAATTTATAAAAAGTCTAAAATACTTGAATTTACGCCTTTGAATACATTTTATTTTAAGGCTACTAATGGGTCTCCATAATGTTTAAGTCCAACTTAGAGTTAAGTTCGACTTAGGCTCTTTGTGAAATACCCCCTGAACTTTATTTGATTTGACTCTATTTTGTTTTCAATATTAGCATGTACTTTAATAGTGGGCATCGGTTTCAAATAGTCATACATGTATGTAAATTACAATGGGGGACTGAAAAAAATACAAATATTTCTACTCTCAATTTTAGCCTCGCCTTTTAAAGTTTTCTTTTTTAGCATGTAAATCAGTGGGAAACGTACGGCTGATTCACATAGACAATTCAAAGCATGTAAGTTGTGCTCTGATCTCTACGTGCCATCGAACAATTTCATGAGATTCAATGTACTTCAACAGATTTATCAGCTCAGGTTACCAGTGCAAATCAAACAAGCCCAACTGCTATCTAATCTTTTGATTACACACTCCAGAAATAACTAAAAAACTCCTTACTGGTATCACAGTTCTCACCTTCATCAATGTCGTATAAAAGACATTGCTGCACGTACCGGTATGTTTAAACTACCCTTATGTAAACAGTAATTTCAACTGTTGTCATTTGTGAATGCCCAAAATCAAGAAGTTTGGGCACTTTTTTATTAACAATTATAATAGCTTTGTTTTGAAATGTGTAATTCTGAATGGTAAGTCTTCCATGTTATGAAGAATTTCGACTCCAAAATGGTGATCGAGACTAGTACTGCTTTTTTAAGATCTAATTGCCTCTTCCAGAAATATATTTCAGACCCTTGTATATTAACATGTGTCCCATTTGCTCTGATAAAACTCATCAGGTCTTTGACTTTACTCATAATTTGAATGTATTATGTAACTGATTGTTTGCATACAAATGCATACTGTGTATTCAGGCACAAAGACTGTGTTTGGATTCCTCCTCGATAGAACTTCTACATGTATACGGTAAGTAAACATTATAAAAAAGTACATGCAGATTTGCCATGATGTGTTCTTGATGGGTAAAAAATGATTGCCATGCAGGTGTATAATATTTCTTCTTCTTCTTCTTGTGATAGTCCTGCATCCTTTAATCCTGAAGATAATTACAGGCCGTGAAAATGTGATGTATGATAATAGCCTAATAGTCCACTCCAAATTTTATTAAACCGAAACGGAAATTCTTTTTGCCCAATTGATCGTGAGCCCGGCAGCCACTGAGCAGCGCCAGATCGACGTTGCTCTATCCCTTATTGTTGAACGCCAAACAAGGGTAGCAACAACTCCCATCTTTTAACGTCTTTTGGTATGACGCGGCCGGGATTCGTATGATGTGTTTGTGCTGAACGGATGCAGTTAAAATGTCAAGGGTGTGAGTAAAAACCAAGCAGCTCTATATACACTGCCCTTCTCACCATCAGTTTATGCTGAAAGGCTTCTACTGATGGGGCACATAAGTAGATGGCAGTGTATTCCATTGCTTCCTGTGCGTGGATGCAGAGGAAAGAATGACTGTCTATGGTGCTCATTTTTCCCCCTTCAAACTGGCCTTGAGGGTGAACTGGTCTAGTTTCTGTTACACTGTAACATTCATAATGTATACAGGGTATGTGCTAACTATCAACATGTGAATCTACATCTAAATGTATGTGTACTTTAAACTAAAGAAATATAACAAATTTAAGGGTTGCGAGGAGTCACTCGGGTGCAGAACAACAGAATAATTAATATTGATCCGACGTAATGAAAGGCTTAATAGACAATGTTCTTTTATAGAACTACACAACCGCTAGCCACGATCCTAACCAAGACCTTGCATACACCACAACGGATCAATATGGCCACCTTGGAGGGTTTTGTTAACATGAAAGACAAACATATTCACCTTTTTGTTGTCATCCCTGAACTGGTGTAGGTAGAGGGACTTGTTATGGAGCGCTTCTCTGTCGGTATCCAGACATTTTCTGTCATAAGCCACGGCTGTCTGACTCTCCCCCACTCGATCCTTCATGAAAGTTTTGTGAACAGAATCCTTCTCGCTCATCTGGTCTTTAAGTGAGGTCCGGATGTGTTTTCTAGTGGAGGGGAATAAGCAATTTGAGATGAACAAAATGTGTTAATTACACATTCTCTTTTTTGTCTAGAATTACAAGTTGATATGTTGCTTGTCACTCTTTACCTGACATGTAGATTGTTTTAAACTGGTAAGTCACTTTCAAAAGCGAGATGTACATGCATATCTAGCTTTATTTTAAAGTAAAAAATTAAAGTGATAGAATTGGGCATATACATTTAGATCTCTTTAAAACTGCCATAAAGCATGTATAACAAAATTCAGGCAAATAGGTTATCACTAGAGTGCAATTAAAGAGAAATTAGGCTATCTCCCCCCCCCCCCCCCTCTTTTTCATGTATTCATAGAGGAGATGCCATGATCTCCATAAAATAGTACTTCTAACATGAACTACAATACCCAGTTGCTTTTTTGTTTGTTTTTGTTTCACCTTGGATGAATATTTTATCAAAGCCTGAAAAATGCTTCTTACTACCTTGTATACATTTACTTTCTAGACATCATGGGGCTTTCCAAAAGCAAGAACATTTCTCCTTTGTGCTCTTTGAAGATAGTCTACAGTACCGGTTTCAGAAATTTCCTCAAAAGTTAACTCTGCATTTTCCCTTATTTTCAACATCTTTTTTAATACCTGAACTAAATCTCTCTTGTCTCTACATGATATTATTTTTGTTTCTTTCACTGATAGTATAATTTGTTAATTTCACTTGTTGTTGTTGATGTTGTTGCTGTTGATTATAAAGTCTATGACCTACCTGTAGTCCTCTTGTTCCAGCTTGCTACCATAGAAAGGCTTCATCCATGATCTATGATACTTGTGATATTGTTCTCTTTTCATATTCAGTGATCTCAGTTCATTCTGAAAGTGTGGGTTTGTGGTCTCTAAGCCGACAGTCCGACTGTACTTTGGCGGGTGAAGGGGATCCAAGCGGGGGAACGACCTCCCTAAACCCTGGGCTGTATGAGAAATAGGTTTTCCATCATGATGGGTGACCGAGCCACCCCATGAGTTCGATAGTTCACGATGGCCGATAGAAGAGAAGGACTTTCGTTGGGGTTCTCCGTGACTGCTGCCTGGGTGGAGAATGGTTTTAATGCAGGTCTCAGTTGGAGCAAGTCTAGGAAGGGTTGTCATTTTGAATGTCTTGGGTCCTTGTTGGATGCACCGAGCTATAAATAATAATGAGAAATGAAAATGTATCAATAACAAGGCTATTTCTTGAGAGAAATGATGTCATTAACCAAATTGAAATATCATTATTGCACATAAGTTCATGCAGGATAATCCTGCCTTATAATACCATTCGAGAACAATTAATATGTACATGTACATGTACATGAATTCTCTCTCAGTCTCTAGAAAACTGTAAGTATAAACTTACACTTCATTTTAAATAATTATAGATCTAAGTGAAATGATAATCCAGATCTAAATTGTTAATGAGCACTGTTAATAGATCTGTAGTACTAAATTACTGTATTACCATTTAAAATCTGTCATGAAGCAAAATTTATATTTTTATAAACAGTAAATTTATTTTTTACTAGATAACACTGATAGATCATCAGTATAAAATAAAACAGACAAAAAAAGAAAGAAAGATAGGGAACAAGAATGCTTTATAACATTTATTTTTAAACATATGTCTGTGTTTATTGCTCAATAAACATTATATATAAGATCTAGAGCCTAGTTTGTATTTCTATCTAATTTATGCAGTTTTAATTGTACATGACACTTCACTTGTAGTTGTACTATTGTAGACTCTAGTGGACTTCAGTACTTGGTCTAGGCCCTGGCTATACCGTCTACAGACTACAGTCTAGTTTGACTTAAAGTTCAAAGTATTCCTCATGCTCGGTATGTACCCACAATTTAGATACCTGAAGAAGAAACATGCAATTTTTTTGAGGTATTTGTTATCAAATAAAAGAATTAAGGCTCTGTTTGCTTCTCCAATTCATTCTCATTCTCATGATTCTGTAAAACAATTTGGGAGAGGTCCGAGCTGAGGGTCTTTCAAACTCCAATTGAAATGACAGAAACATTTCTTAAAATATAATAATATTTTATCTATTCAACAACATTAGAGTCTTAGTCACTTCTCCAATAAGTGTCTAAGTCTAACTCTAAGTCCAAGTTACTGTTGCTAGAAGTTTTCAAACCTACGTCACTGCATGCACGCATCAGTCGGAGCTCTTGGTCGCGAGCCAGGATATCCCAGCCGGAAGCTCGGTGGGGGGAATGGCAAGGATCCGACACTCGTGTCATCACCTCCAAACTTCACTCACTTCGTGCTCTAAATATCTACTCAAAGTCAAACTTACCTGAACAAACTTGAGATGAATTCTACTCCATATCAAATAAACCACAGCCTCACTTTCCGTAAATTGTCCTGTCACAGTTACTTTCAATACTTAGGGTTTCGTTTTTGTTGTTTTGTTGCTATTTTGTTGTTCTGCGTGTGTAAGTAGTTGCAGTGGTCCTATCATGCATGCAAGGTGTTTACTGGGTCACGTGACTCAACGTCGCTAAGACAACACACAGCTCAGCGAGCCAGCAAGTGTGTGACGCTGATGTATACGTTTCCCGGGTGTTCGTTCAGTCCGCACCCCACCCACCTGTTTGCATAAAAACTATATAGTCTAGTTTCATCTAACAAAAATAATATAAAGCCTTTATATGGGCGATCATATACGCAACGTGTTATATGTGTAACACTCACTCTCGTCTCGTATGAGAAAGAAGATTTCTCTCAATTTCAAGGTGAAGAAACGGGGAAGAAACGGGGACTTCATTGGATGCGATATCTCATAAAAATATTAGCCAATTTAATCAATCAGACATAGGGGCCCAGTTGTATGGAATTATCTACCTAACAATATTCGAAATATAAAATCACCAAACTCGTTTAAAAGAGCACTGAAATGTATTATCATTTCACAGATGTAAGATATTACTTACATACATCTATATAGGCCTATATCAGTTTTCGTTATATCGAACATTAATATAATTCTATTATGATCTACAAGACATTTTGGTTGTGAATCGTGTGTGAAAGGGGAATAAAATACCTATACCTATATATATATATATATATATATATATATATATATATATATATATATATATATATATATATATATATGTGTATACATATATCTTTACTTTACTAGACTTAACAATATAGTTCCTTTTTTCTTTTCTTTTTTGTTCTTTGTAAATACTGTAAATAGTTCACAAAACTGCTGCTTACTACACCCCCCCCCCCTCCCTCCTTGAAAAATCATCCTGCGTACGCCACTGGCAAAGACAAACATTTAGACCGTTGCTGCAAGAATATTGAGGTGGATCTACCAAATTAAGTTCTTCTGAAACTATTCATGGAAACAGTGGATCAAAAGACAGTATACTGAAACAATGCGGTAATTTGAAAGATCTTTAATGTTACATGACTCTTTTTTTTCCATCAATTTTGAAGAAAAAATACATAATGATTTTAATGTATTATTATGCTAATTTTAGGCAAATTTGAGTGTTTAAATCATCACATGGACAGAAAAATACACTTTTAAGTATCGACAAATTATATAATATTGTATTAAAACATGTAACAATGTGGGTTTTTTTTTAAAGGACAATTACCCCCCAAGGGCAACTGTAATTGTCCTCGGGGGTAGTTGTTCTCGCGGGGGGGGGGGGTGGTAATTTTCCGGGGGTAATTGTCCTTGGGGGTTATCGTTCTCTGGGGGTGATTCTCTGGGGTGTAATTTTCCGGGGGTGATTTTCCAGGGGGTGATTGTCCGGATACGTTTTTTAGGGCCTAGACAAGGTCACTACGTGGGACATACACATTGAGGTAAAACCTGATCTCAAAATCCAGGGTGTGCAGGCGTATACAAAAAAGTGTACCCAACTTCGGTAGCTTCTTATAATGTGACCTTCAATCATATTTCATGTTAAAGGGTAACTGATAGTGATACCGATACCCTGTCCAGGGCGGTGATAGAGACCTCCCTGCCCTGTCTAATGATTGTGCTGCCACGGATGACTCAACAGCAGGCTTATCAAAAAACATTGTCAAAATCCTCTTGTACCAAGTTTGGACTAAGCAATGAATGTGGGTCAAAAGCCATTATTATGTGTGGGTTATCTCATTCCATAAACAATTCCTCACTTATTAATACTAACTATTAGGCTGTTGAAGATAAAAGGTGTTAATATCAACTCAAGCTCAAGGAAATCCTTTTTACAAACAACATTTGTGATATTCTCTTCGTTATGATGATTACAATCTTAAATACAATCTAATTTAAGAATGCCATTCGCATCCCTTGTTCAAGATAACCCTTTTTTATTCAAACTAAGCCTACTCTTAACCTGTAAAATAGGCATAATTTTCATATATTTTCATGCTTTTTAGGCTTGCATCCCAAAAAAGTCAGCCCCTATATAACAAAATTACAATTCCCATATTAAATTCATTAGCATATTTTGAACAATTCCTAACGTATTCTTGAAGATGTTCTTATTAAAGAACTAAATATTCATTTGTTGAGGAGTCATATCCTGCCCAAAATAAAATCCTTCGAGGGTCACAATATCATGAGGTAGGCCAATAGGATATTCTATTGTAATGATATTGAGCTTGTGATGGCCGGACCGGAAGTGTTACTATATGCTGCCCCTCAGACACAAAAAAAAAATCATAAAAATATAGTCTAGGTGGAGACGATGACTCACAAGAGTTAAAACAGAGACGGAGAGGCTGTTTTATCTTCATGAATGTTTGACAAATTGTTTGAGACATATTGGCGTGTCACACCGGAGACGGTTTTACCGATATCAGCCCTTGAAAATATAACCTACATACACAGGGGAATATACACGCTTTTAAACAAACTTGTCATTAATAAAATAAACTCTCTGTATAGGGTATGATATATTGTACCTTTACAAGATTACAAGGTAAAGTGAGTGCGCCTAAATATTACAAAAAGATATATAAAAATGATTGCTCTCATTATTTGGTCACTTTTGCTTTTGATATAATACTCTTTTTGATTTTCAAGCCTTATATATACCATTTTCAGAAAGGGCTTTGCAGGGATTTGCTTTTGATAAGTTGTATAATAGACAAACATTTATAAAATTATGTTGCACTTTTTGCAAATCTATTTTCGACTCCTTCTCGTGCTTGTTTCCAAAAGAGAATATGTTAGGGTTTTTCCTCAGAAATGAAAGAAAATATATATTAATATTGACCCTCAGTATCTGAAGAATATTGCTGGCTCGGGAAACGAGTTTGTCCCATGAAGGGGCGGATACAGGGAGGTGAGGGGGCCAGGGGGGGGGGGTGTTGTGTAAAAAATTTTTTTTAAATGGCCCCTACCCTCCCCCCCCCCCCCCGCTTTTCGGCCGGCAGGCTGAGTCGCCGCTAAATATTTACTAAAAAAAACACCCCCAAAAAACAGCGCTACCTACCCCCCCCCCCCCGCTTATTCGGCCGGTCGGCTGAGTCGCCGCTAGCAAAATATGTAAATATTTTCTCACGAATTGGGCCCCTTCTTGGGTCCCGTCCCTCACCGCCAGCTGGATCTGGATCCAGAAGGTCCGGGCCCCCAGGGGGTAAAAACACGTTAATGTTACCTTTATTTGGAGACGGGCCCACTCCCCTGGTGCTCAAGGGGGAGGGGGAGGTGCGATTTTTAAATTTTCGAGGAAAAAAAATAGTGCTCACTACCCCTCCCCCCTCCCCCCCCCCCTTACTGAGCGAATTATCGGCTGGCTGAGTCGATGCCAAATATTACCTGAAAAAGTGACCCCCCCCCCCCCCCCCCCCCCCCTTATGCACCGGCTGGCTGTTTCGCCGCTCAATATTTTCTCACGAATTGGGCCCCCTCTTTGGCTCCTCCCCTGCCGCCGGCTGGATCCGCGCCTGGATTGGGGAACATAATCTTTTAGTTAACACTATAACAGCATAAGTGCTTGCAGAGCGCTAAAACAAAAATGGCAGAAACACTGGAAAAACTTGTTTTATAGTTGAGTCTTGTATTATTGTTATATATCTAAATCATTAAATGCCCACATAATCATTTTCTTCAAACGAACAATTATTAGCTCCATCGAGAGATTGACAATTCTAGAAGGTGCATGGTATAACCACTGGAAGGGAGAGGAGTGCACGTGGGGCCATAGCAGGAGAGAACAGGAAAGGAAAGAGAGGCAATCTATTTAAAGAAAAACAATGACTCACTCTCACACCCTCCTCTCACTCAGTCCTGTTCTCTCACATTCCATCCATAGTCAGACCAGTGGTGCCCCATCTTGAAACATAATGACTCACTCTCACACCCAGCTCCTCTCACCAAGTCCTGAATCTCTCGTATTTTCATTAATAGTCAGACCAGTGCCGCCCCATCACGACAACATTGCCCCCACAATGGCTGCACCGGGGCTACGCCAATAGTTCTGCAGGAAGTTATGGCCCTTGTCTTACATCTGCATGACTACAGGAAGGCAACGATAAGATGGATCGTCTGGACCAGACCCCGGCTCCAGACCGTCCAGGTTCAAGTAAAGAAAACAAAATTTGCGTAACGCACATGGTTGCATAACTTGTATACCTCTTCAATTAAAATGTTCCTTTCAGCCTCACACCCATATCCTCATAAATGGATGATACCTCTTTTAATTAATACAGCACATCCTGTGTGAAAGGGGCCACATTCCGATTCCAATTAAAACAAAAAGAAGATCACACCGCCCCTTCTCGACGCGATTGAAATTATCATCATCATAAATGAATCGACCGCCTGTGAAATCACGGAACATCTAATAAGACATCTTGATGACAACCGTTTTCTTGTTTAACATGATTATGCAACGATTAAGCCTTTTAGTCTGTCAGAAATGTATTGATTATGTCGGATATAAGTTAATTGACTTGAGCGAATGGGGTTGTCTCTTGGGTATTAAGTGATGCTTCATGCAAGCAAAGTTTGGGTCCCTCAATTCCGATGAAAAATCAGTATACAATAAAAAGTAGGTCATGATAAACAAGATTATACTCGTAGAATTTACTGTGTTTATGACATAACTTTTTTTAAATATAATTCTAAGTGTGTTTCGTAAAACAAAATATCTAAAAGCAAAACAACCTAGATGTACACGTACCAGCAACTTTAGTTTTGTTTTGTTTTTAAAATATAAAATAAGTCTTTATTGGTTACCTTCAATTCCATAATACTTTTAACGAATATTTTGTCATAGAACACTACTTAATCGAGCCTTTACAATAACCATTATGCATTAATTGGTCCCCTGCAAAGACTGCACTTTATGTGATTACGACAAAGGTGAGACATATCTCTCCGATAACCGTAATGAGCCCACCCCCCCCCCCCCCCACACACACACACACTCCGGGGTCGGAGGGACCGCATTCATGTTCCCAAAATCACCGGTAAAGGGGGACTTTTCACGCAACAAAGTCCGGCTCGTAA